GCTTCACGGCCTCCAATAAAGCTCCAGGAGCGCAATCTCCACGGCGGTTCTGGAGGTTTCAAACCGGAACGGAATCGCTCGAACAACTCCATGAGTGCCTCTGTGGGCCAGAACGGCCACCAAGACAGCACAGGACAGGTCCAAGTGGAGCCCTACGGGCCCAACTGCCACGACCACTAATGCTACTACTATTACATATCATAATGCGATGACTACTTCGACGACTACTACTACTACTACTACTACTACTACTACTACTACTACTACTACTACTACTACTACTACTACTATTTTTCTACGACTGCTACTCCATCTACTACTACGACTACTGCTACTACGACTGCTGCTACTACTACTACTACTACTACTACTACTACTACTACTACTACTACGACTACGAGAACCACTAATACTAAGACTAATTCTACTTCTGCTTCTACTATTTCTACTACTACTACTCCTACTACTTCTACTTATTCCACTACTGCTACTATTATTATTATTACTACTACTACTCTTACTACTACTACTACTACTACTACTACTACTACGACTACTACTACGACTACTATTACTACTACTACTACTACTACTACTACGACTACTGATACTACAACTACTATGGCTACAACTACTCTGGCTACAACTACTACTACTACTACTACTACTACTGCTGCTGCTGCTGCTACTGCTACTGCTACTGCTACTACTACTACTACTACTACTACTACTACTACTACTACGACTACTACGACTACTCCTGCTACTACCACTACTACGACTTCTACTACGGATTCCACTCATAAGAATTATGATTACGACAATGGACACAACGACTACTATACCTACTCATGCGACTACTCTTACTACTACTACTACTACTACTACGACTACTACTACTACTACTAGTACTTCTACAACCACTACTACTACTACTAAGACTACACATTCTTTTGCCTCCACTACGGCTGCTAGAGCTGCGGCTAAGAATTGTGCCACGACTACTACAATTACTATTACCACCGCTACAACTGCAACAACAACTACTACTACTGCTACTACTACTACTACTACTACTACTGCAACCACTGATGCTACTACTACTACTACTACTACTGCTACTCCTACTCCTACTCCTACTCCTACTACTACTACTACTACTACTACTACGACTACAACTATGACCTCTTCTACTACCACCAGGACTATTACTACTACTACTACTATTACTACTACTACTACTACGACGACTACTACTACTACTGCTACTCCGACGACTACAAACAACGACTATTACTACTACAGCTACTACTACAACTACTACTACTACTACTACTACTACTACCACTGCTCATTTAACTACTACGACGACGACTACTACTACTACTACTACTACTACGACTACTACTACTACTACTACTACTACTACTACGACTACGACTACTATTAGTACTACTACTCCTCCTCCTCCTCCTCCTCCTCCTCCTCCTCCTCCTACTACTACTACTACTACTACTACTACTACTACTACTACTATTACTACTACTACTACTACTACTACTACTACTACTACTATTACTACTACTACTACTACTACTGCTACTACTACTACTACTACTACTACTACTACTACTATTTGCACTATTACTAGTACTACTCCGACTCCCACTCCGACTCCTACTACTACTACTACTACTACTACTACTACTACTACTACTACTACTACTACTACTCATCATAATACTAGTACTAGTACTAGTATTAGTAGTAGTAGTACTACTACTACTACTACTACAACTACAACTACAACTACTACTACTACTACTACTACTACTACTACTACTATCACTACTACTACTACTAGTATAAATAATCTTCGACGATCACAACTACTTTGACGATGACGATCCCGAGGACGACGACGATCACGACGACGATGGCGACTACGATCACTTCCGCTACCACTATTACTTCGACGACGATCACGACTACGATAGCGTCTACGAGCACCCACACTACGACTGCAACTCAACTCGCACTGAGGCCTTCGGTGAAGCTCTCTATGGGGCCACGAAACGTGTGAGCGGTGGGCTGACATGATGTGGAGAAGGCATGCGGGCGCAGACGCGGGGGTCTGAGGCGGAAGTCTCGATCGGGCCACGAAGCGTGAGAGGGGTGCGCCGGCATGGCGTAGAGAAGGCATGCGGGCGCAACCATTGGGGCCTCAGGTGGAGCTTATGAAAGGCATGTTCGCCGGAAAGTGTGAACGGATCTAGGTTCTTGCCCTCCGCCCCTCATGCGTGCGGCATGCATGGGGGCAATCAGAAAGGGCAGTTGTTTGAAATGCTATTTTTTCCCAGAGCTGTTCTCAAAGAGCAACTCACAAGGGCACAATGATAATGGCATGTGTAAAACCCACAACACTGCAGGGCCCGCCACTTACACTCTACGATTCCATCAGGGCACGGATATGCAGCAGTCTTTCCCCCCCGGAGCTGGCTTCGTTCTCGTGTATCACGCTCAGGTCATCCCGCTTCAAGATCTGCACGCGCAGGGGAACGAGAAAGAGCGAGAGAGCGAGAGAGAGAACGAGAACAACAAAAATATAATAGGGAGAGAGAGAGAGAGAGAGAGAACAAAAAAAAAAGACAGATGAGCGAATCAGACCGCGGCGTCTGGCCACACTGCGAAGTTAAGAAAACCACCAAGCGAGACAAGGGGCGCTGCACAAGCCGTCCTGCCACAGGCGAGCTGGTGCGATGACTGGTGGCCTGGGGGGCAAGGAGAGACCCGCCCTGGGGGGTGAAGCAAATCAAGCAGTGCTGTCTGCTCTGTGAGGCCAGCTTATCAGCTCTGAGACCCTCTGGGCAGCAGCACATGAGCGCCATTTCTGGCCGTACCTGCTTCAGAAACTGAGCGACACCCGCACCCACCCGCGACTGATCTTCCCTTGCCTCATGAGTTATTCAGCCGCTCGTGCAGCACAACATGTTCCTGGCTGCACGGCGGCACTCTCGCTTGTAGGGCTCGAATGACGTGTATCCCGTCGAACGTTTTATATGAAATACGCCCCACGATCGGCTCAGGTGCTGGGCGATTGGGTGCGACAGCGTTCTTTGTGAATGCAGTACCTGCCGTCGCTCGGACGTCCTTTCCCCGCGCGTTTGTCAGTTTCGCGTGTGTTGTTGTTCGGCTCGATTGTCTAGGATGTTCCTCGATGGTCTTCGCCGAGAAAAACACACGTCCAGGCGATGCCAGAGGTGTGCGAAATTCACGAACGCGGCGGTGCAGACTGTTGCGCGATGTTCCTTCGAGGCGGGCAGCATGGGCAGTGGAGGGGTGGTGTGCAGGAGGTGCCACTCATCTTGAGGCCTGGCGTACGGGAGCAAGATGGAGGAGGGGCAACACCAGGACTTCGCGTTCCTCCTCCTCCTCCTCCTCCGACCCTCCTGCACTTGCCCCTCTGCTCCTGTTCGTGACGGGGGGCTGCCGACAACACCCTGGTTTGCAGCTGCGTGGGATGCGCGTGAATCCAACACGCACATCACTGCACATCACTGTTCAACCAGCTGCAAATATATTACCATATTCGCCGAGAAAAGCCATACTAAGCATAGTGATAATAACCATACTACTCCAAATGACAACACGAGTAATAGTAACAGTACTAGTAATAACAATACTAATATTGCGAATAAGGATAATACTAATAATGCTAATGCTACTGCCACTAATCTTCATCAAACTAAAAATGAGGATAAGTCAGGTGCAGATCATGCGAACTGAAAATCAGCAAAGCATGATAACGAGTAGTCCGGACCCCCTTGTTTCGAAACCGCTGGGCATGTCTGCGCAAGGCCTTCAATCCTGACACTACCTGCGCTGAAGAAGCAGGCCACTTAGAGTTGAAGAGTCAGCTCTATAAACGAGCCTTCTGAAACGAGCCAAGCTCATGCCTTGGCGGGGCACTTCGAAACCCAATTGGGGAGCTTGAGCCTTCCATGCTTATCGGCAAAATGGTATCGACCACATCGTGATCGCCATCGTCACGTCCTTGAAGGGGCCCTGGGACACACAAATAAATACACACAAATAACAGGATTCCCCATATTTTTCCACAATTTCTGGGTTTCTGTCTTCCCCCCCACTCTCCATATTTTCTTATATTTTCTGGGGAATCGACGATTAATTGTGTCTGTGTGCTTTTTCCCCTCCTGAGTCCTTGCTCGCCTCAGAGGAGGCCCCAGCAGCAGCCTGCACGAGCTGGCACGTCGGAATCCGCTGCAGGTCCTCTCGCGCTCGGGGGCGCGGCGGTGGCACAGATCGGCGGCGAGCGAGGGGGGGGGAGGTGAGAAGGAGAAGGCGCAGGGGGGACCTCTCAGAAGCCCTCACGCATTCTGAAAAGTTGTCCGTCTTCGGGGAAGGCTCAAAGAACTTCTCAGAAGCCCGGGGACCTCCGAGCCTTCTGAGAAGGCCAGCCCCTTCTTGCCTCCCCCCCTCGCACGCTGCCGAGCAGAGGGCGGCTCGCCGGGCGAGGCCACCCCCGTCGGATCGCCCCGCGCACCCATCGCAGCCACCCGACCGCCCGGCGAGGCGAGAGGCTGGTCGCGGCCCAGGACCGCGCAACCTCGCGGCGGCTGCGGTCTCGCCGCCGAGGCCGCCATGTACACCACCGTCCCTCCCTCCTCCCCCTCCCCTCCCCTCCTCCCCTTTCCCCTCCCCCTCCCTCCTCGCCCTTCCCCTCACCCTCCCCCTCCTCTTCCAACCTCCCCTCCTTCCTCGCACTCCCCTACCCTTCCTCCTCCCCCTCCCTCCTCCTCCTCCTCCTCCTCCTCCTCCTCCTCCTCCTCCTCCTCCTCCTCCTCCTCCTCCCCCTCCTCCTCCTCCTCCTCCCTCCCTCCCTCCCTCCCTCCCTCCCTCCCTCCCTCCTCCTTGCCTCCCCCACTCCCTCACTCCCTCCTCCTCCCCCCTCCCCTTCACTCCCGCTCTCCCTCTCTCCTCCCCCTTCCCTCTACCTCCTCCTCCCCCTCCCTCCTCCCCCTTGTGCTCTCCCTCTCCCTCCTGGGAATCCCCATTTCACTCGGGCATCGGGGGGCCAACGCGCTTCCGGCGCTCCGGCGCCACCAAGGTGCTCTTTCTAGGGGCGTCCTTCGGGACGATTGTCGACGCCCACACTCCCCTTCCTTCTCCCCTTCCCCCTCCCTCACTCTCCATCCCCCCTCCCTCGGAACGATTGTTGGCGCCCACCCGCGCCTTCCCTCCTCCATCTTCAACGTTTGTTTCGTGGGCGGTGCGGGGCTTTGGCTGACACGGAACGGCCCTGCCCCCACGTCCTCTTCCCCCACGGGGTAAAAAACTGCCGCCTAATTAAAACAGGCTTATCCCCGAGAGTCCTCAGCAAGGCCGAGGGGCCCCAGCGAGGCCGAGGTTAGCCCGCTGTCGGTCGTCAGTGGCATCGCCACTTGCTCCCCTGCTTATTCTTGATTTATATACTCCTGCTCTGGCATCTGGCAGGTCAATAGCGACCGGATCGGGGACTTTTCCTACCCGACCCATAAAAAAGAATACTCCGACGGAAGGACCCCGCATGATAATCTCCTTAGTGCGCATGAGTCCTCATCATCGACAACTGTCAGTGGAGCCGCGCCGCACGGCGCATCGGCTAAACAACACAAGGCTAATTACAACAGTTCTAACGCACAGCCTCTCAGAAAACATACGCCTGGGCAGCGCTTCTCCACCGAGCCCTGCTATAGTTGGGCCCGAGCTCGGCGCGCACAGATGTGCCAGAAGCCGAGCATGCTAGCGACGCGTGCTCATGCACTACGCGAGCCCATGTCAATCTGGGGCGGCCTCGTGCTCTTCTTCCGTGTAGGATCGGCGGGTTCACGCTCCCGGGTGCGAACACTACATCACGAGCTGCTGAGTCCGGCATGCTGCCGAGCTTCCCGAACAGATCGAACTGTTTCATGAGAATGTGGCTGCTAAGACGGTGCTGCCCAGTTTGTTGCCGCACGCTGTGGTTGGACACGTGGGAGATCATGGAATGAGGGATCTTTAGTATTTTGCGCAGACACTGGGCCTGGAACGCATCAAGTTTATCCCTCTCTGCTTTCCGCAAGCACAAAGCCTCGATGCTGTAGGAGAGCTTGGAAATTACGCACGCGTTGAACAGCATGATCTTTCTGCTCCGACTGATGTTCGCGTGCCCCCATACCAGGCATAATTTATCAAGGGCTCCCCTGGCCTCCCCCAGTCTGCGCGCCAGAGACGCACCCGCGTTACAGTCAACGTTCAAGAGGCCACCAAGATATAAAGCTGAACTGGTCGTGTTGACCGGGTCCCCGGTGGATGTGAGCACTGGCGTTGCATGCCGAACTTGTAAATGCACAGTTTTCCCCCAGTTGGGCTCTAGACCGTACCTCCACGCATGTTGAACAAGAGTGCGTAAGAAAAACTGCAGACGAGGGATGTCATCAGATATCAAGGCGGTGTCGTCTGCATACGCAACGTCTAAGCAAGTATTCCCCTCACCGAGTGGACCACATTCTCGCACCATCACTTCTTCGACGTCTGTCAGCAAAACGGACAACATGATGATGAACAGATAAGGACTCAGCGGGCACCCCTGCGCTATGCCAGATTGCTGGTCGAATATACCAGACTCCCCGTGCGCATCGCGCACGTCAAAGGTTCGGTTGTCGTAGATATCTGCAACGATATCGATATACTCGTCCGGGATGCCAAACCTGGACAATGCGACGACCAATGCAGCCGCGTCCACTCGATCAAAAGCCTTGGACCAATCAAGCAGCAGCACGGACAGGCAGCCGTCCTTGGTCGACCATGCCTTCTCGATTATTCTCTGGACAAGAAAATACGCATCGCTGGCCCCACGGCGTCGTCTGAAACCGATTTGCGTTGGCTGCAAGCGTCCCTCAACTCCTCCCTGAGCCACGCGGCGCAAGATGAGGGCGGCGATGACTTTGTAACCAACACAACAGCGATATTGGGCGGTAGTTCTCTGGCAGAGACACGTCCCCCTTTTTGAACACAGTGGATACACTGAAATGCTTCCAGCGCTTCGGCACGGTCTTCTCACTCCAGCACACATTACAAAGATTGAGAAGAATATCGCACGCGTCTGCGTCAGACCGCAATGCTTTCCAGAGGTCGGGGGGGATGCCGTCTGGCCCAGCTGCTCTCCCTGCCCGCATCTGCGTCAACACTGCTGCCAGCTCCTCGCTGGAGAAGTCGCCAGCCTGCAGAAGAAGCACAGGGGCAAGTTTGCCACCGTGTGGAAGAGCTCTGCCAAGCGGCGGCGGTTTCCACTGTACCGTGGCGTAATGCTTCGCCATGGTTTCGGCGCTCTCATGACTACCGACAAGATTCCCACTCGCGTCTCTGAGCCGCCCTTGTCTCGCGAAGCCTCTCCGTTTGAACTGTCTCAGGCTTCTCCAGTCACCTGTTGACAACGTGTCGTCCAGCCATGCTGCTCGATCTTTCTTCGCAGAAGCTTTGATCTCTCTCGACAACGACACTTCTCTATCAATATTGCCGGCTACCCGGGCTTGGTTGCGTTGTTCTATCAAATTCAAAGTAGGTTGCCGTATCCGAGGACGATTTGCTTGCACTGGGCGCCGGGTAAGACAGGCAGCCGCCGCAGTAGCCATGCCGGAGGCGACCCTGGCAGCCACTTCATCAACGGTTTCTGTCTGAAGACTTTCGTCGTCGCCACAATGCTGCAGAAATTCCGATACGAAATGCTTCAGCACGTCCTTCTGCTTGAGCGATGCCAAATCCAAGGCGCGCCGAGTGGGCTTGGGGGAGGTCTTCGGGATCTCCACCGCGAGCCGAGCAATGACGAAGAAATGGTGCGATGAGAAACCTATCGATCGATCCGCTCTGACCTCTCGAACCGTGTCCTGCCACTTCCGTTCCACCATCAAGTGGTCGATCTCGGCGAAATTCTGCGGCGCGAGCTCCGAAACAGGCGTGGCCCAGAGGTCGTAGTAGGTCATGTTCTGAACATCCGGCCTGTCCAGGAACGTGTTTGCAAGGACCATGTGTAGAGCGGTGCAAACTTCGACGAGCATGTGCTGATTACTGCGAGCATCGACCGCGTTACCTGTAGGCCCCCAGGCATATGGACCGACAACGTCTGCATGATCGCAGTCTGGACCAAAACGGGCATTCATGTCACCAAATACGTACAAAGGTCCATGAGGCTTGGTACGGAGAATAAAATTGTGAAGATCGCTATGGAAGTCGTGACGGACATCAAAATCAAGACCAGATTGAGGGCAGTACGCGGTAATGATAGACATGGAGCCGCCTGGGATTCGAAGCGATAGACTAGCAAGTCTGCTCGATTCTTGAACGAAGCTCTGGACAGCGTGCCGGGCAGAAAGAGCAACCACGAAACCCACTCCTGCGTGCTCGCGGACATTCCCGGGGCCACCTGTCAAAATAACTAAATGCCCTTTATGGTCAAAGAAAGGAGCATTACCCAAATGTGTTTCTTGCAAGCATAGAACTGCGATTCCTCTCTCCTCCATCGCCTGCACAAGCTGATCTAACTTGGTGCAGTCGCTGTCCAAGCGCATGCCTTCCACATTCCAGGAGGCAACGGCCGTGACATTGCAGGGACGTTTTCGCCGTATGTCTCTGAAATGTCCTGCGCGCCCTGCCCGCTCAACAAAATGATGGCCAAGAGCTGGTACGTTGTAATCGCGTTGATGGTCACTGCAAGGTTGTGAAACATGTGGTGAAACGCCCGGCTCGGACCTGCGCGGTAAAGCTTCGTCTAAGCTTCCACGCCCAAAATTGGAGCCAGGGTGCTCGTAGCCGATGCGCCGTGCAAGTCCCTAATGGGACTCCTGCCCCTTCCCTCCTTTCCCTTTGGGGCCGTTTTTGCCGATCCCCTTGGCAGGGATCCTCTGCAATTTCTCACGCAAATTCTGCGCCATCTCAGGGAACTGTGGGAAATCGGCCCCAGTCGACCAGTCCTCCCAGCCCGGGCCGTACTCCACCTTCAGCGTGCCGCGGTCGATGGTCACCTGCAGCGCGATTTCGCTGCCGACCCATACCTTGCCCTCCTCCGGGTCGGCCCAGACGCTGGTGCTGTCGTAGCCCCAGTCCTTCAGCATACGCTTGGATCCAAAAACGAACGAACTTAAGATCCTCTCTGGTAGCGCTTTGTCCGGTTTCGCCCAGACCGTGTTCCCGCCCTCTTTGAAGGCCTTTTTGCAGATCTTCTGCACTGCGTTGTCCCTGTCGGCCTGGTCCCAGAACTTCGCAAAAATCAGGCCTCGGAACTCGCCTTTCACGTAGACGTCCTCCGGCTGGGTCGCGAAGGCCTCCCAGAGCTTGTCTTTGAGCCACTCCTGAGCCTCGTCGAGCCCCGACAACGACTGTAGCCCGCCAATTACCGCTGTCAGTTCTTTGGTGTTGTGGTTGTTCGCCCCATTGGTGTTGTGGATCGGTGTTTTCCCCTTGAGCTGTCCAACCTCAACCTCCAACGCCTTGATATGGTCCCATACTTCACTCTTGGCACTCAGTGGCGATGTTGGTGCGTGCATGGACTCAACAGTGTTCTCCAAATTTGTCAGGCGCATGTCGATGTCTTCGACGTGCTCCCCCAAGGTGTCGAACCTGGTGTCGATAGTCACGCTCATCTCCGTGAAGCGCCGCTCGAGGTTGGTGATCGTGTCGCGGATCGGTTGCACTTCCAAGCGGAACATGTTTGCTATCTGCTGCAGGGTTGGCGGGTGCGTATGCTGACCATTGTGGGCTGGTTGTGCGGGTACTTCTGCTTGTTGATGGGCCTCTTGCGGAGTCGTGGGAGTCGAGATTGCGTGCACATCAGGGCCCCCAGCGACATCGCCCCCAGCGACATCGTCCATATCATTCAGATGGTTAGTGATAGCAGGATGCCAGGAAACCAGAATACTACCTCTGGGACGTGTGGGACTCGCGGGAGCTGTGCGACCCTTGTGTGGTTTGTTGGACCTGTGGGGCCTGTGGGGCCTGTGGGACCTTTAGGAGTTGCGAGCCCTGTGGGACTTGTGACACCTGTCGGACATGCGGTCCGTGTGGGACCTGCGGGACCTGCGGGGCCTGTGGGACATGTAGGACAACCCCGGAACTGGTGGCGCCTGTTGGACCTGTGCGACCTCTGGAGCCCGCGGGACCTGCAACCAGGTGGGCCCGTGGGACCTGCGTGGCCTGTGGGACCTGTGGGACCTTCCGGTCCAGTGGGAGCCCTGGGAACTGTCCCCTGGTATTTGTGGGGGGACTTGTGGGGCCCGCGCGACCTGTAGGACTTGTGCGAGAGGCGAAAACACCACAGTACCTGTGCGCCCTGCGGGGCCTGCGTAGGGCCTGTCGGATCTGTGCGGCCTGTGCGACCTGTGGAACCTGTGAGACAGATAATACCTGTGAGAACTTTGGGATATGTGCGACCTGAGGGAGGGGTTCCCGCCTGAGACTTCCTTGCAATTCACTCCCAGACGAGGCTCCCGCCTGAGAATTCCTCGCAATTCACTCACAGACGAGGCTCCCGCCAGATACTCCCTCCATACCCAAGCCAGAGGAGCCCGAAAGTGACGACAATTACAAATTTGAGGATGACCCACTCGGATTACAAAACATTAGCTGCGGGCCCTGTAAGGAGGAGGTTCCCGCCTCCCGCCTAAGATTTCCTCGCAAGTCACTCACACACGAGGCTCCCGCCTGATCCTCCCTCCATACTCAGGCCTGAGGAACCTGATGACAATTACAAATTTGAAGATGATCCGGTCGGATTGAAAAAATGAGCTGCGGGCCCCACAGGGAGGAGACTCCCGCCTAAGACTTCCTCGCAATAATCTCACAGACGAGGGTCCCGCCTGATACTCCCTCCATATTCAGGCCTGAGAAACCCAAACATGAAGACACTTAAATCTTTGAGGACACCCGCTGGGTCCCATGGGGGGAGGCCCCCACCTGAAACTTCCTCGCAATCCACTCGCAGACGAGGCTCCCGCATGAGTCTCCCTCCAGATTCAGGCCTGAAGGGCCCACACGCGATCACTCTTACAAGTTTGAAGAGGACCCGCTCGGATTAAAAACATGAGCTGCGGGCCCCATCGGGAGGAGGCTCCCACCTGAGACTTCCTCCATATTCACTCACAAACGAAGCTCCCGCCGCCCGATACCCCTTCCATTTTCAAGCCTGAGAAGCCCACAAGCTGTCACAAGCTACGACACTCACAGGTTTGAGGATGACCCACTCGGATTAAAAACATGAGCTGCGGGCCCCATAGGGGGAGGCTCCCGCCCAAGACTTCCTCAAGAGTCAAGCCTCAGGGGCCCAAACGTGACGACGGTTACAAGTTTGCGGATGACCCACTCGCATACATGCTGATGACGACGATCAGGTTCATGATCATGATCATGATGGGTGTGTGAGTGTGTGCGTGTGTGAGTGACGATGGAGGGAAAGGGGGTGAGGAGGCGTCTGCGCGGAGGGTGTCCAGAGACACGTAGGGTGATGGGTGTTTGAGTGCGTGTTTGGATTATGGTGAAGAGTATGACGATGATAAAGACTATGATGACGATGATGGTGATAATGATATCGCGATGTTGAAGATGAAGATGACGATGGTGATGGTGATGATGGTGATAATGATGATGATGCTGATGCTGATGCTGGTGATGATGATGATGATGATGATGATGATGATGATGATGATGATGATGATCATGATCATGAGCATGATGATGATGCTGCTGCTGCTGATGCTGCTGGCGATGATGATGACGACGATGGTGATGATGGTGGTGGTGGTGATGAGTGTGTGAGAAGAATGGGTGGGCGATTAGAGAAAACAAGAACCCCACTTAGGATGTGGGGAACTACAGAGCCGACGCGTTTGCTCTCAGCTTAGACGTTATGTCGCCCACGTAGCAAATGCGCAGCCGCAGCAGGAATGGGACGGGACGCACATCCGGCGCGGATGGGCGAACTATCGCTGTCGCCTCGGCGCCACGCCCAATTTTCTCGAGAATGGATCTCCGGCTTGGGCGCGGCGCACATCACTCGCACGCAAATTCGTCGACGCGCGGGTGTGCGAAAATGTTGGTCTCGCCTCGGCGTCGCTCAGAGTTTTACTTGAAAGTGGCGCTCCCGCCTCAGCGCGGCGCCTGCTTTCACTCGCCAAGTTCTGGAGCCCCGCGCGAGCGTGCGACTTGTCGCCCTCGCCCGAGCGCCGCGGGCGCGGCACATGTCTCGTTGGCTGGATCGCATTCGAGCGGCAGCGGCAGCGGGGCCGCGCTTGAGGAGGTAACGGAGGCCTCAGGGAAAACCACTATCAGGCTTCCCTTCTGGCCCTCCCTCCCGCCTTCCCTGCCTCCAGCGACCGCGCGGGTTGGTTCGGGTGCGGGGTCTGGTTGGGGTACCCCTCCTCCCTGGGTGGCTCTCTCCTCCCCTCCACTGCCGCTTCCTACTCCCCCCTCTGCTGAGGCCAGGGGAGGATATGAGCTGATCGGGCTCAAACAACTCAGAGCCCTGAGAGCATGTGGAACGAATCCATCCTATCCCGAGGCTGCCTGATGCCTGATATTCGAATCGGTGAACGGCCAAGGGCTGGGTGCTATGCGAGAGATGCTGGACTTCACTACTACTCCGTGCCGATGTCGTACTCGCCCACTTGGAATCGCAATTTCCTACCCACGTCCGCGTGCGGACCGACTCGAGTCGACCAGACTGTGTTTGCATCAGGCCGCCTGACTCCTCTCTGTCCTCCATACCATGCCGATCACAAGGGCGATCCGGGCTCCATGCGAGCAAGTCGCACGGACACGCCGAAACCGTCCGATCCCAATTCGCCTCAAGAGCAGCGGTGGCCCCTGCCGTGGTTCACGGTCGCGCGACACGGTCGGGCGATCCACAGACGTCCTTCTTCCCACATCTGCCCCTGCCCTCCACCCACCCTAGTTATCGTCTTCTTCTTCTTCATCATCATCATCATCATCATCAGCATCATCAGCATCAGCATCAGCATCAGCATCAGCATCAGCATCATCATCACCATCACCATCACCATCACCATCATCACCATCATCATCATCATCATCATCATCATCATCACCATCATCAGCAGCATCATCATCATCATCATCATCATCATCATCATGACCATCATCATCATCGTCATCGTCATCATCAGCATCAGCATCAGCATCAGCATCAGCATCAGCATCAACATCATCAGCATCAGCATCAGCATCAGCATCAGCATCAGCATCAACATCAACATCATCATCATCATCATCATCATCATCATCATCATCATCATCATCTTCGACCGTGTCCTCCTCCTCCTCCTCCTCCTGCTCCTACCGTGTCCTGCTCCTCCTCCTCCGCCGCCTCCTCCTCCTACTACTCCTACTACTCCTACTCCTCCTACTCCATCACGTTCTCTTCCTCCTCTTCTTCCCCCACCCCCGCCACGGCTTCGTCCTCGTCTTCATTCCCGTCCTCGTCCTCGTCGCCCTCCCCATTCACGAACTCTACCTCCGCCATTTCCTTCGCACCACCATCGCTCCTCCTCGTCTTCCTATCCTCCTCCTCCTCCTCCTCCTGCTCCTCCTCCGCCTCATCGTCCTGCTACTCCTCCTCCTCATCCTGCTCCCCCTCCTCCTCCTCCTCCTCCTCCTCCGAATTGTTACCCTGAAACTGCTGATCGTTCTTCGAATCAAACTCCACGACCTCGCGTTTCCTCCAAGTCTGTTTCCTCGTCGCCTCGCCTTTCTCATCATTATCGTCCTCCTCTTTCTCTTCCACCTCATTCCGTTCATCGTCTTCGCCCTGCTCCTCCGCCTTCCTCTTCCTTCATGCCTCGCCCCTCTCCCTCGTCGTCATGAGTCGTGAACGGATGGCCGGCCTCAAGACCCGAAACTGGCCTCTGGACCGAAATGGTGAAAACCGCAAGGCGTCCAGGGCCATTCCCCCCCCTACCGTCCTTTCCGCCCCGCGCCCCTCCCTCCACCCTGTCGGGGAAGGGGCGGGGGCTTCCTCCGGCGGGTAGGCGTCGAAGTGCTCCGCGACGACGTCCTGCGCGCTCGGTGCCGCTCTGCCGCGGCGCGGCCTCCTCCTCCTCCTCCTCCTCCTCCTCCTCCTCCTCCTCTTCGACCTCGTCCTCATCGACCTCGCCCTCGTCCTGGTCTTCCTCGTCGCCAGGGACGTCCTTACAGCCTCGGCGCCGGCTGCCTGCTCCCTCGGGCCCAGGCCTTGTCCTGACCCCGACTCCCCCTTGCTGTCTGTCCCCTTCTACCTCCTCCCTCATCCATGCTTCCTCCTCCCTCCCTCCCTTTCTCCCTCCCTCCCTCCTCCCCAGCATCACCCAGCCTCCCTCTTCTCGCCTCGCCGCGACCTGGCACGAGACTTCCTCACAACTTGCTCGGGCTTGGCGCTCACGCCGAGGCCTCGTCAGACTTGACCCATGAATCGCGCTCTCGAATCCGCGCTGGCTGCCTGCTTCCTCGGGCCAAAGGGCGCCTGGACCCCCCCCAGGGGCAATATCCGTTTCCGCGGCCTCGGGGATCGGGCCCCTGGGCCGCGACCGCGCGGATATACGGGCCGTTTTTTGGCGGACGCACCGCGGGGAACGTATCCGTGCGACCGCCTATCCGCGGGAACGCGCCCCAGAATCCAGACCGCAAGGCCGTGGATACGGATACGTCCGCCGCTCGCGAGCCCAGACCCCCAGCGTGAACAGAATCACGACGTCGGATGCCTGGGACCTCCGAGGAGGGCAGCAGCGCGAGGCGTCCTCGCAGCTCTGGGCTCGGAAAGGCCGCACGTTCGAGGTGGTCCGGCCCGCTGCGCGTGGGACATCCTCGCAGGCGTGGGCTCCGAGGGGGAGCCTCGGAGGGTCACGAGCGGCGACCGCATGGTGATGTTGGTCATGTTTTCCGCGATGTCGCAAGTGTCCGCGACGTCGGGTCGCAGGGATTTCGCGCGAGACGTCCTCGCAGCTCTGGGCGTGGATACTGAGACGTCCGCCGCCCGTGAGTAGACAGCACAGGGACCACGCACGGCGGTCCAGGCCGGCGCCTGCGCGCGCCGAGACATGGGAGACCCGCGCAGCCAGGAAACTGGGATGCGAAATCCCTGAGATCTGGCGTTGCAGACACTTGCGACAAAAAGTTTTGAGGAAACCTCAAATGAGAGGACGAGGAGGGGGAGGAGGTCCCGCTCGAAACTTCCTTGCGGATTCTCTCATACGCGAGGCTCCCGCTCGAGATTTCGTCCATATTCAAGCCTTAAGAGCCCAAAACTCGAATGTCACAGGTTTTCCGAAACTCGCTCGGGCTCGAATATGCACAGGGGGACCCCATGGGGAGGGGCTCCCGCTCGAGGCTTTTGTGCGTTTCTCTCACAGACGGGGCCCCCGCTCGTGACCTCCTTCATACTCAAGCCTGAGGAGCCCAACGCTGACGACAGTTACAGGTTTTCCATGAACCGTTCGGGTTCGAACGTGGACGTGGGAACCCCAGGGGGGGGGTCCCGCTCGAGAGTTGCTCGCGGTTCACTTACAGACGAGACCCTTGCTGGAGATCTCATGCGTACGAGCGTTTGTTTATGTAAGTGATGGAAGGAGTGTGCGCCTATGATGTTAATGATCACGGTAAAGATGCGTGTAATGATGATGATGAAAATGATGGGGGATGATGAGGTCATGGGTTATACTGCGAATGATGACGACGATGCGGATGAGTAGCGGGTGATGTGCGATGGGTGGTGGATGGAGCGAATGCGTATATGAATGGGTGAGTGAGTGGGTGATGATGATGATGATGACGATGGTGGTGACGACGATGGTGCCCAATGGTGCGTGAATGCGCAAGTGAGTGTCGGGCGGACAACGAGCGAGATCTTGCGCGGGGGGGCGCGCAGAGAAAACTACTCCGACAAAAGGGCCCCGCATGAGAATTCCCCGCGTGAGAAAAATTAATTACTCCTCGCTGTCATTGTCATCCTTGTAAATGCCGAGGCCCCCTTCCTGCGTTATCGTCGCCCTTCTCCTTTCCGCCCTACCAGAGGCCCTCCTCCCGCCCATTGCTCTGCACCCTTTTTCGTCCTCCTGGCCCCCGCCTCTGTTGCGAGGGCGCGCGTGTCGATTTTCCTCGGCGTCGCGGGCCGCCTCGCCAGCACGCGCGCGCTCCCCGATGGCCGGATCGCGAAGCCGTTGGGGCAACCCCGCGGGCCGCGCCGTTGGGGCAACCCTGCGAACCGCTGGGGCGCGCGGGCAAGCCGCTGGGATAAACCCGTGCTAGTCGCGGCCGCGCCCAAGCGGGAGGCGGCGCGAAGCAGACCTCTGCCGCCAGCTGCTCCGCCTCAGCCTTGGCCCGAGCGCCTTCCGCAAGGGCACCGGCGGCCCCCGCCCTGAAACCCTGCTCGGGAATCTCTCGCGAGGGCGGCAGCGGGAGCAGCGTGCACCGCGCACGCGTGACTCGGGAGAACGTGACGTAGAGGTGCAGCCACCACTGGTCGTCCGACATGCCCGTGCGGCCCGCGCCTTCGTCCCTGTGTCAGTCGACGGTGGCTTCCTTGCGCGGCGTCTGGCCCTGCGACAGCTGGGCGGGGCGCGCGCGTCAGAGCGAACCCCGAGCGGCGCGCGACGTGCGGCCGCGAGCTCTGGCGCGTGAGCCCCCGCTTGCTGGGCCTGAACATGAGTAAACTTCATGCTCGCGCCTCGACATATCCGCCGTCGTCAACGCTTCGGCGCCTAGTGGCAACAGTTCGGCGACCTCCATGTAGATCGGAGTCCGTGAAGCCGCGCGCCCGCAGCCAAATCCAGTGAGGCAGGTAACCGGGGCGAAAGAGCTGGAACTGGCGCGCGTTCCTCGTGTTTCCGCTCGTCCTCGCGGTGATACTGGAAGGATACGATGGTGGCCATTTGCTCCTGCAGGGCCACAAAGTCTTCTCCAGCTCCTCCTGCACGGCCGTGGACCGAACCTCCATGCCGACGCGTGCTGGAAAGATGTCGCGGATGTCCCCCATCTTGTGCATGTTCGGGACGTTCAGGAAGCGCTGGCCCGCCTCGGGGTCGCCGTGGATCGCGCTAGACTCGTTCACGGCCTCACAATTTGCCTCCTTAAGGTGATCAAATGCTATACCAGGTCGGATTTTCCGATGACCCGCCTCGGATTCGAATATGAAATGCGGGCCCCATAGGACAAGGGCCTCCACTCGAGACTAACTCTCTATGCACTCACAGTTTGCCTCCTCAGGCTGTTCAGAAATTGTCCCGGGTAAAATGTTCCGATGGTCAGCTTCGGATTCGAAGATGAAGCGCGGGCACCTTGGGGAGGTGGCTCCGGGTCGAGACTTACGCGCTTTTCACTCACAATTTGCTCCCTGGGGATGCTCAATCAAGTGTAGTGTTTTCTGGAGACCCACCTCGAATTCGAACACGAAGTGCGGGGCCCATGGGGAGGGGGCTCGCTCGAGACACTCCTGCGCTTTCCACTCACGATTTGACTCTTTGGGGTGCTCGAGCCGCGCTCTGCTCCTATCCCAGTTTGCCCCCTTTAGGGTGCTCAAGAATCATGCCGGGTAAAAAATGTCCGATCGCCCGCCTCGGATTCGAATATGAAATGCGGACCCCATGAGAGCGCTCTGCTCTTATCCCAATTTGCCCCCTTTAGGGTGTTCCAGTCTCATGCCGGGTAAAAGTTTACCTATCACCCGCCCCGGATTCGAATATGAAATGCAGACCCCATAGGGAGGTGACTCCCGCTCGAGCCCTCCGCGAATTTCACTCACAATTTGCGTCCTTGGGGCGGTCAAGTGCTATGCCTTGTCGGGTTTTCCAGTAACCCGCCTCGGAGCGGACTCCATAAGGAGGTGATTCTCGCTCGAAGCTCCCTCGCTATTCACACTTGCCTTTTTCTTGGGGCGCTCATTCGCCATGCCTGGTAAAAGTTTCCAAGTTAACCGCCCATACGAACATGGAGTGTGGGCCCCACAGGGAGGGGGGTCCCACTCGACTCTTCCTCGCTTTTCACTGACAAGTATCCCCCCTTGGGGTGCTTTCATAGGGACGAAGTTCCCGATCAATGCGGGAATGTATGAGTGAGAGTGAATGCGTGTGTTTGCGGGGTGTTGATGCTCGATATGGCCATGATGATGATGCTGATGATGATGATGGTGATTATGATGATGATGATGATGATGATGATGATGATGATGATGATGATGATGATGATGATGATGATGATGATAGCGACGGCGAAGATTACTATGCTGATGATGATAAAGGTCCTGATGCTGATACGGGTGCTGATGACGATGACGATTATGGTAATGATGAGAGAGACGGTGATGAGTAAGATGGTGATGATGATGCGGATGCTGAAAATGATGGTGGTGATGCGGATCCGGGTGATGATAATGACAACGAATTGATGGGGATGGCGATACTGTTGGAGAGATTGACGGCGGCATGGCGGTAGCGATGGATATGGTGAGGATGATGATAGCAATGATGATGATGATGATGATGGTGATGATGATGGTGGTGGCGGTGGTGATGACCATGCTGATGGTGTTGCTGATGAGGAGGATGATACTGAGGAGGAGAAAGGGGGGATGTGACCACGCGCGGTTTGTCCAGAGAAACAACAAACCAACCTAGGATGGAGGGAACAAACCCCCACGTAGGATATCGGGATTGATGATGAATGTATCAGTGTGTGTGTGCGAATTCGCGCGATGTGGATGGTAATGGCGATGATGATGATAATGGTTGTGATGATGATGATGATGAGGATGATGACGACGACGATGACGATTGTGCGAACAATTGTGAAGACAATAGTGATAATGGTGGTACGGATGATGATGATTATGGTGGTGGTGGTGGTGGTGGTGATGCTGATGGTGAGCATGTGTTCCATTGATACATGCAGGAGTGAATGACATGGAAAGAAAGAGGAGGGGAGGGGGTGAGGTGAGGACTGCGCGGGGTGTCCCGCAACAAAAAAACAAGAACCCTACATAGGATGTAGGGCAACCGTCTTCCACGACGCGGGGACGTCAGGGGCTGCTGCAGCATCAAGAGAGCCCAGAATCGCATCGGTTGGTCGGACCAGCGATCGAAGCGAATAGGATCGGCAGCCAAGTCGGGAGAAGTCGAACCGGCGGAAATCGACAAGCTAGTAAGACCTCCGCTGAGAAGCCGGAATCCCCATCGGAATCCGAAATCGAATCGAAAAGGTATCGGAATCGATCGAAATCGACTCGACTCGAACGCGAAGAACTGACGTGAGCCTTGCCCTGCGCGGAGGTCCCCGCCGCTCTCGGCCCCGAAAGGCCCCTCTCCTTGCGCTCCGTGCGGCGCGCCTGCGTGGTTCCGACGCCGCTACTCCCCAAACCTCTCCCGATTGCGATTAACAAGTCCGTGGGGGCGCGCGTTTAAACACATAGTTCCCCTGCTCGGGCGAATCGCGGGGTGGCGCCCGCCAGATTGAAAATCAACTAGGCGGCGCCAAGTGATTCGCGCCGCCGCCCGGCCGCCAATGAGGGGCAAGGGGGAGTGTGTGGAGGCAAGGGCGAGCCAGGGCGCCCCTCTTTCTGTCGAACCGATGCGGGCCTGCGGGCAAGGCGGGCTGGACGAAAGCTGGGCGCAGCAAAGGGGAGATTGACCAAGCAGCTAACGTCGCCGATTCTCCAAGCGCCATCGGGCGCCGAAAGCGGCCATGTGTCGAGGACTGGCCCTTCGGCGGGGCGGCGGAAACCAGCTGCGCGCAGCAGGCTTTGCAACCCCCCCTTTCCTTCCCCAGCCTTCCGTCCTACCCGAGCAAGGCGGGTAGTCCTGCTCCCCCCTCTGTCGCCGTCGTCGTCGCCGTCCCCAACCCCCACCCTGCCTGCGCCCGTTTCCAGCGGCCGCTCTCTTCGTCGTCGACGACGACGACGACGGGACGAGGACGAGGAGGAGGACGACGGACGGCGGACGGCAGACGGCGACGGCGGCGACGACGACGACGCACTGCGGATGCCCGATGGGCGGGGGGGTGGGGGGTGCTGCGCAGGCCCGCTGTAATCGACGACGACGACTACGACGAAGACAAGGACGACGACGACGACGACGACGACGACGACGACGACGACGACGACGACGACAAGGACGACGAAGACGACGACGTCGACGACGACGCCTGAGAGGGGAAACGACAGTTCGCCTCGGATTTGTACGACCCTTTTAACAAATTCGATACGAAAGGAAATCGTTTTGAGGCTGTCATGCAGGGGGGTACACGATCCCCTCGACGGCGTCAGCGACGGCCCCCTGGCGCGCGTGATTAATAAAAGGTTTAGCGCCCCGCGGGGTCTATTCATCAGCCCTGGGGGGGGGGGCTGCCATTTTGCTAATCACAAGCTGACATTAAGCGGCGGCACCCACGCGAGGGTGCCAGGGGATGATATCCTCCGCGGAGGTCCGCGCCGCTCTCGGCCACGATAGGGGGGGGATGAGGAGGCAGAGAGGGAGGAGGAGAAGGAGGAGGAGAACGAGGAGGAGCAGGAGGAGGAGGAGGAGCAGGAGGAGGAGAAGGAGTGTAGGACTCCTCCTCCTCCTCCTCCTCCTCCTCCTCCTCCTCCTCCTCCTCCTCCTCCTCCCCCTGGCGATCCCCGCGCGGAGGGCCTGCGAGGCCCGCTGGATCTGGTCGGCGAGCGCACCGCCCAGCAGCACGGCGGCGTCCGCGAGGATCCGAGGAGCTGACGACACCTGGGCGCAGGGCAGGGGAGGAGGTCCTCCTCCTCCTCCTACTCCTCCTCCTCCTCCTCCTCCTCCTCCTCCTCCTCCTCTTCCTCTTTCTCCTCCTCCTCCTCCTCCTCCTCCTCCTCCTCCTCTTCCTCTTCCTCCTCCTCCTCCCTCCCTCCCTCCCTCGATCCCTCCCTCCTTCCCCTTCTCCCCCGTCCCCCCCTCTCCGTGCCTACCCCGGGGGGGCCCCTGGTGTCGGGCCCCGGGGCCCTCACATATCGATCTGGCTCGAGGACTCACGCAGAAAGATTGGGTCCAGGGCTCCAGCCGTGACTGTTCGCAGCGTCGGACCTCGGGGAGAGGAGGGTCGAGGGCTCCAAGTTCCAGACGAAGAGAAAGGGGTCGCACGCGAGATGGCATGGCGACCTCACGCCGCGGCTTACGCGGGCCGCCGGCGCAGCACGCCGCAGGAAGCGAGGGCGCTTACGCGCGACGTCTTACGCGGGCAACTTCTGCACCAGTGTCGGCGAGTCGACCCCACTTTCTTCCGTTGCTCACTTGGCGAGGGGGCATGGGAGGAGGATGAGCAGGATCGAGGGTCTCGAATATCTGATCGACCGTGAAATGTTGTTCGATCCGGGCGTTCTTCCTCGATTTCGATATCTGGGGCCCGTTCTCGGGCCGCATCAGAACCGCATCTGGGACGAACAACTACCCGTGAGGGGGAGGATACCAGATTCTCTGACATACTCGCGTCGTGAAACAAACACGACACGAATCTTGGCCATTTTATGCCTCTGGGGGCCCTCACTGGACCCCGGGACCGTCAACAAAAACACTCGGGGTGAAAAATCTGTCCTGGGGGAGGGGTCCAGACCTCTGGTGGTCCACGCTGTGAAAAAGCACGACGTCTGAGTCTGGGTCCAGAGGATCGGCATTTGTTTTGAGCGTCGTCTTGCCTTTTGGGGGCCTGCGGAGCACCGGGGATCCAGAAAACAAATTAAGGATTTCTCTCTTTTGCTCGAGGATAAAACAAATTATTGCATTTGCTTGTTCCCCCGCGCGAAGAAACAGGAACCTCTCCCCTCCTCCTCCTCCTCCTCCTCCTCCTCCTCATCATCATCATCATCATCATCATCATCATCAGCATCATCATCATCACCACCATCACCATCATCATCATCATTGGCATCAGCATCAGCATCATCATCGTCAGCACCAGCATCAGCATCATCATCGTCAGCACCAGCACCAGCATCGTTATCATCATCATCATCATCATCATCATCATCATCAGCAGCAGCAGCAGCAGCATCACCATCGTCATTCCGTATCATCATCATCATCATCATCATCATCATCATCATCATCATCATCATCATCATCATCATCATCAGTATCATCAGCATCACTTTCATCATCATCACCATCATCACCATTATCATCATCAGCAGCAGCATCACCATCACCACAAGCATCATCATCATCATCAACATAAGCATCAGCATCAGCATCAGCATCAGGATCACCATCATCATCATCAGCATCAGCATTATCATCGTCGTCCGCACCAGCAGCATCAACATCATCGTCGGCATCGGTATCGTCATCGCCTTCACCATCGTCATCATCAGCATCCTCATCATCATCATCATCAACATCATCATCGCCGCCATCAGCATCAGCATCAGCATCAGCATCAGCATCAGCATCAGCATCCGCATCATCATCATCATCATCATCATCAGCATCAGCATCAGCATCAGCATCAGCATCATCATCATCATCATCATCATCATCATCATCATCATCATCGGCATTGGCATTGGCATCGTCTTCGCCATCACCATCATCACCACCACCAGAACCGCCACCTGACCGTTGTCCAAAACACAGGTTGCTTGTCTCCTGGTGCTCCCCAGCGTAGAGCCGTGGTCATCTCTGGCTCCTCTCATGTCGTCCCGCGTTATGTTTTAAAATGAGCGAATATGATCGGAACCATGTATAGCAAGCATGAAGAACGAGCGTTGATCCACGTTGCACTGCAACAAGAACCTAACACAGAGATCCCAGGACCACTTAACCCTGCAAAAATAGAACAACATCTTATCCTCCTCATCCTTGTGGCTCCCCTTGGGGCCTCCCGCCTATGCTTTCGACTCTCAGCATGGATGCCATGGGAAAGAACGCATCCTGGAATCCCTCCCCAGGAGGGCGTTTCCATAATTATCTCCTCTCCAGACAGGTCGCTCCTGGAACCCTTCGGGAACGCCGTTTTCGAAAAGTCCTCCCTTCCTTGACGAGGATCTTCCCCAGAATGGCCTTCATGGAACCCCTCCCCAGGAAGTGCCTTCCCATCCTCAGCCCTCGCCGTGCCCTCTCTCATGAGGGGCTGCCCCTCCTCGGGAGCAGTTCTCAATGGACAGTCCGACGTCCAAATCTGAAGGAGACCTGGAGCCCCTTCTTGACAACATTCGCGAGAACGCCGGTGACCGGCCCCGCCGCCCCCCCCCCCCCGCCCACCTCCGCCCTTCCCAGCCCCCCGCTGGTCTCGTCAAGATTCGCGCCAGCACCGTGTGGGAATTTGCCATTTCTAAACATTCCCAGACGGCGCCAGCGCGAAACTCGTGACGCTACTGTTCCCCTCCCCCAGTCACGCCCGGTTTCGCCAGGAGAAAAAAAACGGTGCCCTGGCCGGGCTGTGGTACCTTCGTGCAGTCGCCCCCCTGCCCCCAGGCCTGGCGCGTGCCGAATCCTACTCTCCGGATCGCCGGGCCCGCCGGCCATGCGTGGGCCAGCCGCGGGTCGGATCCTCCAGCTGAGGAGGGGAGGCGGCGGAGGACGAGGTTCTCCCTGGAAGCACCTCCTCGAATCCCCTCCTCAGAAGGGGCTGCCCCCTCCTCCTCGCGAGCAGCGCGTGCTCGGATGCGTGCCTGGCCGCTTCGGAGAGGCAATGCGCTCCGCAAATCCTCGCGGAGATTCGTTCCCTCAGCCCGGCCCCTGCCACTGAGAGCCTCGGGAGCAGCTCTCCCGTGAAACACCTTCTAATCAGCAGCGCCGGCGGACGCTGGCGCGAGGGCCGGTACCGGCGGGACGCGCTGTGCGCGGGGCGCAAGGGCAAGAGAAGGAGAAAAGGACGGCCGCGGAGGAGGATCGGGATCGGCAAAACTTTCTCACTAGAAACACCTTCTCAGGAGGGGTGCGCGACGGCTCCTGCCACGCGGGCCGCAGACCCCCGACGTCATGATGTTTGTTGTCATGGCGTAGACCCCCGGAGGTCTCGACCCATTCCCCAGGGATCGGCTTTTCAGCCTGAATCGTTTTGCTGACGGTCCCGCGATGTGCTGGGAGCCGCCTGCTGGCGCGGGCGCGTGAGCGGACGGCGAGGGCACTCGAGGTCCAGGAAGGCTCTTCCAAGGAAGCGCCCCCACGAGGTCCTGAGGAGGGGGTCCCGGGGGGGAGGGTTCTGGTGAGGACCCTCTAGAGGGGAGAGGCCCCCCCTGAAGAGGGCATTCCAAGAGACGCCTTCCGAGGAGAAGAACCTCCCGAGGAGGAGTTCCTGGAGGGGCCTTCCGCGAAAAATGTGTCTTGAGGAGGAGAGGAAGGCCCTTGACTGAGGATGGGGGTCAGGAAAGCCTTCCCTAAGGGGAAGACTCTTCCTGACGATGGGCTTCAACTGGAGGACAGCTTTGTCCCCGCAAGGTTTTTCTTCAAGCTTCCACAACGAAGTGATGCTGACCAGGAGTAGCACGAGGAGGGCGAGGAAAATCACGACATGGAGGACGCGGAAGATGGAACACGTGGAGGAAGCGGGTAGCGGTCATGACGCGTTGTTTGGACGACGCCGACACCGTGTGCATGCTGGCCTGCGTACCAGCACGCGCGGAGAGGCGTGTATCGAACTGGTCTGGTGCACGGTTGACGTGGTTCCAAGATGGGATATCTAGATGATTCGAGCAATCCAAGCAAACTTCCTGCTCCTGCTCCTCCAACAACGATCTCCTCCTCCTCCTCCTTCTCCTCCCCATGATGCGCAACTTCCTAACCATTTAGCTCCTTCGGCTGCTGCTCCTCCGTCTGCTCCTCCCCGGAACTTCTGAACATAGCCGAAACTTGTCCTATCCCCCCCCACCGAGAACAGCCTCCCACGACCCAAACTCTGGAGATCGAACCAACCATTTAAACACATCAAACTGGCAGAAACTGGCAAGCAGATCGGAAAGCATTGGGATGGACGGCCGCGGGCCCAAACCGAGGCATGCTCGATGCAATCCAAACCGAGGTCGGAATCCAGAGTCGAACCGAATCGAACTCGGAAGCCTCGAAGCCGCACTGATGCGAATCGGCAGCATCGAAGCGGCTCCTGCCTCCTCCTCGACGAGGGCCGCTGACGGCTCCCGGAGTCTGGGCCAGAGGGCAGAACATCCACCCCCATAACAAGCACCCCGACAAGCGAAGCCGCTTAGTGAACTCACCTGGGGCAGGAATCGAACAGAGCAGGCAGGGCTGTTGAGTAAACGCCCAAGCCCGTCCAGTGAACGCCTCGGAGGAGGAGGAGGAGAAGGAGAAGGAGGAGGAGGAGGATGAGGAGGAGGAGGAGGCGGAGGTTGAGGAGGAGGCGGAGGAGGAGGAGGAGGAGGAGGAGGCGGAGGAGGAGGAGGAGGCGGAGGGGTCTTGGTGTTTTTTTTCCTCCCTGGATGGGTCAGGCGCAGCCGGTGCACCCCCCAACGGCGGTCTGCGTCGCCGCAGGAGGTCTCGGAGAGAGAGCGCCGCAGGAGACGAGCATGGAGGCGCAGCCTCCTCACGGTGGTGATTCTGCTACCGAGGGGGGAGGAGGAGGAGGAGGAGGGTGAGCCTCGGAAAAAGGTGACGTGGGGGGGTCGGAGGATGAGGAGGAGGAGGAGGAGGAGGAGGAGGAGGAGGAGGAGGAGGAGGAGTAGGAGGAGGAGGAGGAGGACGGGGAGGAGGAGAGGCCGGGGGATTGTGGAGTCGCTGTGGGTTTTAAGCGAAAATTTACGATATTTCACGTTGTTTCTCATCATTATGCTGATGTTTCCTTTCTCGTTTTCTTTTTTTTTTTTCTCTCTCTCTCTCTCTCTCTCTCTCAATCTCTCCCACTCCCATTCCCATTCCATTCCCATTCCCAATACCATTACCATTACCATCCCCATTCCCATTCCCATTCACATTACCGTTACCATAACCATTACCTTTACCTTTATCTTTACCTTTACCTTTACCATTACCATTACCATTGCCATTACAATTGCCAGTGCCATTACCATTGCCATTACAAGTGCCATTATCATTGCCATTGCCGTTGCCATTGCCATGGTATTGCCATTGCCAATCGCCACCCCGTTACCATTACCATTACCATTCCCATTACCATTACCATTCGCCACTACCATTACCATTGTCATTATCATTAGCATTACCAACACAATTGCCATTACCATAACCGTTACCGCTGCCATCACCGTTACAATTCCCATTCCCATCACCATTGCCATTCGAATTATCGTTACCAGTACCATTTCCATTACCATTGCCATTATCATTACCACTACCACTACCATTTCCATTCCCGTTCCCGTTCCAAGTGCCACTACGATTCCCATTCCCATTCCCATTCCCATTCCCATGACCATGACCATGACCATGACCATTACCATTGCCATGGCCATTGCTATTGCCATTGCCATTGCCGTTGCCATTCCCATTGCCATTGCCATTGCCAATCCCATTACCACTACCATTGCCATCGCCGTTGCCATTGCCATTGCCAATCGCCACCCCGTTACCATTGCCATAACCATTACCATTACCGTCATCGTCACCAGTACCATTCCCAGTACCATTATTATTACCACTGTCATTGCCATTACCATTACCATTGCCATTGCCATTGCCATTCGCCACTACCATTACCATTGCCATTCGCCACTACCATTATCATTACCATTGCCATTGCCATTGCCCTTCGCCACTACCATTACCATTGCCAGTACCATTACCATTCCGATTCACATTCCGATTCCCAATACCATTACCATGACCATTACCATTACAACTGCCATTGCCATTACTATTACCTTTACCTCTACCTTTACATTTACCCTTACCCTTACCATTCCCATTTCCGTTACCACTACCACTGCCATGTCCATGCCCGTTCCCATTCCCATTCCCATTCACATTCCCATTCCCGTTCCCATTCCCATTCACATTACCATTGCCATTACCATTACCATTGCCATTGCCATTGCCATGGCCATTACCATTGCCATTGCCATTGCCATTGCCATTACCATTACCATTACCGTTGCCATTGTCATTGTCATTGCCATTGCCAGTCGCCACCTCGTTACCACTATCATTACCGTTACCATTACCTATACCATTACCATTATCTCTGTCATTACCATTACCATTCGCATTGCCATTGCCATTGCCACTAGCCACTACCATTACCATTGCTAGGACCATATCCATTGCCATTCCTATTCTCATGACCATTACCTTTACCACTACCATTAGCATTATCAGTATCATTTCCATTGCCATTACCATTACCTTTACCTATACCTTTACCTTTACCCTTACCCTTACCATTGCCATTTCCGTTACCACTACCACTACCATTTCCATTCCCGTCCCCGTTCTTTCTCCCATTCACATTCCCATTCCCGTTCCCATTCCCATTCCCATTACCATTGCACTTACCATTGCCGTTGCCATTGCCATGGCCATTATCATTGTCATTGCCATTGCCAATCCCTTTGCCATTGTCATGACCACTACCGTTGCCATTGTCATTGCCATTGCTCATCGCTACCCCCTTACCATTACCGTTACCAGTACCCTTACCAGTACCATTACCATTACCTCTGTCATTACCATTACCAACACCATTGCCATTGCCATTCGCCACTACCATTACCATTGCCAGTACCATTTCCACTCCCATTCCCATTACCATTAGCATTACCATTACCATGAGACTACCGCTGCCATTACCATTAGAATTCGCATTCCCATTCCCAATACTATTAAAATTTCCATTGTCATTACCATTACCATTACCATTTCCAGTGCCATTACCATCACCACTACCACTATCATTTCCATTCCCGTTCCCGTTCCCAGCCCCACTTCCATTCCCATTCCCATTACCATTACCACTGCCACTGCCACTGCCATTGCCATTACCATTACCATTACCATTACCATTACCATTACCATTACCATGACCATTACCATTACCTTTAACTCTACCTTTACCTCTACCCTTACCATTGCCATTACCATTGCCATGGCCATTACCATTGCCATTGTCATTGCCATTCCCATTGCCATTGCCATTACCATTACCGTTGCCATTGCCATGGCCATTGTCATTGCCTCGCCACCCCGTTACCACTATCATTACCGTAACCATTACCAGTACCATTACCATTGTCATTACCATTACCATTACCATTACGATTGTCATTGCCATTGCCATTGCCATTCGAGGATTCCAGTAGGAATCATTCAGTGGAGGGTTTCAGTAGGAATCCACATGTGGAAGATTTCGGTAGGAATCATTCAGTGGAGGGTTTCGATCGGAACCCTTCTGTCGAGGATTTCACTGTGAATCCTTCTTATGGGGGCGTCCAATAGGAATCCTTCTAGGGGGAGGGCAGATGTGGCCACGTCGCTTTCCTTTTTTGTTCCTGGCGCCCCCCCCCCCCAGCACAAAAAAAATATTCTGACGGCGGGACCCCACATGAGAATCTGTTTAGCTTACCCTTTGCCCTTTCCTCTTCCTCCTGGGGCTCCCGCCTGAGACTTCCTCACAATTCACTCGAGGCTCCCGCTCGAGACTTCCTCCATATTCATATCTCAAGAGCCCAAACGTGGCGACAGTTGCACGTTGCGGATGACCCGCTCGGATTCAAACATGAAGCGCGGGCCCCATAGGGAGGGGGCTTCCGCCTGAGACTTCCTCACATTTCACTCACAGACGAGGCTCCCGCTCGAGACTTCCTCCATATTCAAGTCTCAAGAGCCCAAACCCGCTCGAGACTTCCTCCATAGTCAGGCCTCAAGTCAGCGAGTAGTGATGATGATGATGATGATGATGACGATGATGATGATCGTTCGATGCCGATGATGGTGAGTGATCGCGGGATGGTGATGGTGATGCTGATGGTGATGATGATGAGTGGGGAGTGATGGTGATGGCGATGATGATGCGGAGGAGGAAGCAAAGAGGAGCAGAGGAGAGGGGGGAGGAGGAGGAGATCCTGCGCGGAGGGTGTGCAGAGAAAACAAGAGCCCCACTTAGGATGTGGGGAAACAACAAAACCAACAAACATATTTGTTTCGGGGGGGGGGCGCCAGGAGAAAAAAAGAGGCAGAGAGGTAGCAGGAGGGGGAGAGGGAGGAGGAGGAGGAGGCGGAGGAGGAGGAGGAGGAGGACGACACTGAGCAGAGTTTGCACAGAAACAGTCGCGAACTCAGCGCGAAACCCTCGCGCGCGCGCTGTGGAAGCCCAGCGACTCCACAATCCCCCGTTCTCGAGGAGGAGGAGGGAGGAGGAGGAGGGGAGGAGGAGGAGGAGGAGGAGAGAGGAGGAGGAGGAGAGAGGAGGAGGAGGTGAGGAGGAGGAGGAGGAGGAGGAAAAGGAGGAGGAAGAGGAGGAGGAGGAGGAGCAGGAGGAGGAGGAGGGGGAGGGGGACGCGCGGCGGGGGCGCCGAGAGGAGCTCGTTGATGCCAACCTGCGCGGCCAGGAACAGAGACCTGAGTCGCTCTCTGTGCATCTGTCCGTCTGTCTGTCTGTTTGTCTGGCGGTTCTCTCTCCCTCCTTCCCTCCATATATTTGTCGTTCGTCTCTCTCTCACTCGCTTTCACTATCTCTCTCTCGCTCTCTCTCTCTCTCTCTCTCTTTCTCGGTCTCTCTCGCTGTCTCTTTCGCTCTCTCTCTCTCTCTCGCACTCTCTCTCTCTCTCGCTCTCTCTCTCTCGTGTTCTCTCTCTCTCTCTCTCGCTCTCTTGCTCTCCCTCTCCCTCTCTCTCTCTCTCGCTCTCTCTCTCTCTATCCCGCTCTGTCCCGCTCTCTCCCGCTCTCAATATCTCTCTGTATATCCCTCTTAGTTTCTCTACTTATGTATTTCTTTATGTCTTGATTTCTTGATTTATCTCTCTCTCTCTCTCTCTCTCTCCCTGTCTCCCACTCTCTCTCTCTCTCTGTCTCTCTCCCTCTCTCTCTCTCTGTACAGATCTAAGTGTATACAGGTAGTTGTTCTCTCTCTCTCTCTCTCCCACTCTCTCCCTCGCTCCCTCCCACCCTCCCTCCCTCCCTCCCTCCTACCCTACCACCTCTTTCTCTCTCGCACACTTCCTCCCACAGTCTCTCTCTCTCTCTCTTTCACTCCCCCTATATCTCTATCTCTCTCTCTCTGTCGCTCTGTCTCTCTCTCTCTCTCTTTCTCTCTGTTTCGCTCTCTCGTTCTCTCTCTCTCTCTCTCTCCCTCTGTTGCTTTATCTTTCTCTCCCTATATACGTACAGACCTATACGACCTCGGATTAATTACATGAGTTGCGGGTCCCATAAAAAGGGTTCCCGCCTGAGATGACCTCGCCATTCACAGACCATTCTCCCATTCGAGACTTCCTCATGATGGGATGATGGTGACCGATGGTCCTGATGGGATGATGATGATAGCGATACTGATGATGAATGTGTGTGTGTGCGTGTGTGCGCGTGTGGTGGTAGCGGTGATGGTGCTGATGATGACGCCAGTGATAAGGACGATAGTGATGGCCATGGCATATGGGTGAGCGATGAGTGGATGTGGCTGAGTGGGTGAGTGAGTGGGCGGGTGAGTGAGTGAGAAAGTGTGGTGATGATGGTGATGGGTGCGTGAGAATGTGAGTGCATCAGTGCGGTTAGTGTGTGGGTTCGGAGGGGGAGGGGGAGAAGGAGGAGATCCCGCGCAGAGGGTGCGCAGAGAAAACAGGAACCCCACTAAGGGTGTGGTGGACCACAAGAAAAACAGGGAAGTGAGGAGCGGGAGGAACAGGGAGGGAGGGACCAGGAGACAAGGGAGGCCGCGAGAGGGGGAGATGAGTGAGCAGAAGAAGAAACAACGACATGAACACGAATTGTTGGCGTTCCGTGCGGATCTCTTGGATCTGCGCTGGACTCCCCTCCCTAGCGCGCGGAGAGCGCCAGGGGCGGCGCCACAGCGGGCCCCAGCGCAGATCCAAAAAATCTGCGCATAGCGCCGAAAGTTTCTGTTTATGGCGTTCTCCTTCTTCGAGGGGAGGGAGGCCCCACCCCACCCGGCCCTACACGGTGCCGGCGCCGAGCGCGCGGCTTGATCTGCAGCGCGTCCGCGCAGCGCAGCAGCGGCACCGCGTTCTCGTCCGAGAGGCTCAGGTCCTCGCGCGGGCGCTGGCGCGCCCAATCACCGCCCTGCGGCGCCCAGCCCCCGGGGAGGGCGACGAGTGCGACGGACGACGGATGAAGGCCGGAGAAGAGAAGGAGAGAGAAATCTAGGGGAACAAGCAATGACATAAACAAACAAAACTCGGGGGTCCGCGCGGACTTCTCGGATCTGCGCTGGGGCCCCCTGGCGGCGCCTCCGGCGCCAGGGATGGCTGGTCCCACGCCGATCCGAGCCATCCGCGCGGACCTCCGAGTTTCAATGTTTATGCCATTGCTTGTTTCCCTGACAGCGGCTACACGCAAGAGTGACACTTGGTAAGCGTGACCTGTTGTGCGCGGCGTAACGGGGGCGCCGGGAGGGCAAACCCGGGCGAGCGGGCCGCTGCTGCCACTTCGCGTTCAACGATCGGCCGCATGAAACGTCACTCCAGCGAAAGGTCACCTAGCCGGAAAAAAGGGGGACGGAGGGATGGGGAATGAGGGAGGAGGGATTCCAGGCCTCGCCCGAACACCATCCCGACAAGCTCTTCGAACAAAATGAAAAGCGTTGCGGGCAACAACATCTTGTCAACGCGCAGACCCGCACGAAGGATATGCCCATTCCAGTCTGGCGCCTCTTCTTCCAGCTTCGAAAGCCGCCAAGAAACCTCTCCCCCCTTCAATTCTAAATAATATACCACGAACTGTCGACTAGATCAGGGTAGCACGTCAAAGCTTAACAAAACTCCGACGCCCCCCTCCCCCTCTGGGGTCGGCGAATAAATCCTAAGGTCTCCAGAACTCTCTGGAGGCCTCTGGGAGCTTCTGGAAACCCCTGAGGGCCCCTGGAGGCACAACAACAACAACAAAACAGCAGTGACAGCAGCAACAACAACAACAACAACAGCAACAGCAACAGCAACAGCAGCAGCAGCCACAACAACAACGACAACACCAACAACACCACCACCATCACCAACAACAAATATCATCAACAACAAAAAACAACAGCAACAACAACAACAGCAACAGCAACAACAACAACAAAAACAACAACAGCCAACAACAACGCAAACTTCAAAATCGAAGTCCTCTAATCCTCGTCTTTCGCCTCTCCTCCTCCTCCTGGTCCTGCTCCTCCTTCTCTTCCTGCAAACGTCTCCCGGGCATCACGGCTGGCTGCCTCCTCACCGGGTCCGTCATCAGCCATCCCTCGGCTCAGGCTGCCGAGGGATAGCGTGCACCCGCCCGCCCGCCGTTTGCGACGGTGGTGCGGCAAGCGCACGACCGCGCCAAATGATAACAGAGACAGAGGCTGTTAGAAGGCAGCTCACAGACCCTCTTTGTTAGCCCCATAGAGGCCAATAGCGCGTCAAAAACGCGCGCAAAGCGGAACGCATCTCCCTGACATTGCACCATTGGGCGCATCGGGCGCTATGTGGCGCTATTCGGCACTATCGAAAGCTTCTGGGCGCTCTAAGCCGCGGCGCGCGCGCTGATGGGCGCTATACATTCAACGCGAGAGGAGCGGAAGCTTCCGCGACTTCCTGTCTGCGTTCGGGAATGGTTGCTCAGCGTGTCGCGGAGGCGTCCCCGGCGACACGCCGTGCCCCGCACGCGGAGAACGCGTCGCTCCGCTCCGCGGGGCGAGAGGCTGGGAACAGCTAGGGACGTTGACGCTCGGGGACTGGGGCGTGAGCAGGGTGTCGCGCCGAAGCGCGAAAACTGGGCGGTCGCGCGCCGCGTCGCCGCATCGCCGATGCATCGGCGATGCGGCTCGATGTGGAGCCTGATTTTCTCCACGCCGACGGCGGCGCGATTCTCCGGCCCTTCTGCTCGGGCCCCGTCGGGTGGGCCAGGACTGGCGGCGCGACGCGCTAAGCCAAAACTCCTGACTACCAGCGCCGGGGAGGCGTGAGGTGGCGGCGCGCACGACGGAGCAGGGGGACGGGGGGAAGAATTCTTCGAAGAGGCTGCTCTTAGAAGGCGCCGGCCCTACATCTGTAGACAAGGCCCGCGCCTTCTAAGAACCAGGGGTGCTTCTACGAAGCCTCCCATCCTCCCCCTACACCGTTCTGCGCTGGGCCGAGAGGAGTGAGGGCAGGGGACAAACTCCTTTTCCCTCCTCGGTGCTGCGGGCCCCCTTTGCGCGGCCCCGCCTTCCCCGGCCCCAGGCCGGAGGGCGCACTCCTCGGTGTAGACATAGTCCAGAACCTCGCCAAAGAAGGGCCAGACCTACACTGGCGTGGCCTCCCTCTCCCTCTCCTCATCCTCCCTCTTCCCCACCTCCACCTCATCATCACCACCGTCACAATCATCATCATCATCATCATCAGCCTGATCATCAACAACATCATCCTCATCATCATCCTCATCAACAACAATAACATCATCGTCATGAGCAGCATCAGCATCATCAGCGCGATCATAAGCGCCATCCTCATCAGAAGCAACAGCAGCATCAGCATCTTCTCCTCCGTCTTATCACCATCATTATCACCATCAGTATCATCATACGCATTATCAGCATCATCAGCATGATCACCAACATCAGCATCATCTTCATCATACTAATAAGTAGCAGCATCCTGGTCATCGTCCTCATCATCATCACCCTCACCACCATCACCATCATCATAATCATCATCATCATCACCATCACCATCGCCATCACCATCACCAGCGCCATCACCATCAGCATCATCATCGCCATCAGCATCAGCATCATCATCACGACCACCATCATTATCATCATCAGCATCATCATTATCATCATCAGCATCATCTGCATCATCATACTCAGCATCATCAACATCGTCATCGTCATCGTCAGCATCACCGTCGTCATCATCATAAACATCATCATCAGCATCAGCATCGCCATCACCAGCGCCATCAGCATCAGCATCACCATAACCATCGCCATCATCATCAGCATCAGCCTCATCATCATCAGCATCATCATCAGCATCATCATAGTCTGCATCATCATGAGAATCAGTATCATCACCACCACCATCATCATTAACTATCATCAGCAGCATCACCAGCATCAGCATGAGCATCACCAACATCGTCATCCTCAATCCCATCCTCATCCTCATCCTCGTCCTCATCTTTATCGTCATGGCCATGCCCATGATCATGATCGTGTTCATCATCATCATCAGCAGCATCATCACTAGATTCCCTCTTCTCCCTCTCTCCCTATCCTCCTCCTCCTGCTCCTCCTCCCCCTCCTCATCCTCCTCCTCCTCCTCGTCCCCCTCCTCCTCCTCCTCCTCCTCCTCCTCCTCCTCCTCCTCCTCCTCCTCTTCCTCCCAGTCCTGCTGATGTAGCTCCTCGTCCACCTCAGCAGACGCGGAGGAAGAAGAGGGTGAGTCAGCGGTGAACCAGCGATAGCTACGCGCAGACAGCACGATATTAAAAACAAAAGCGCATGCTGAATTCCTTTTTGCTGATGGTCAGCGGAATGGCGCAAGCCTCTTGAATGGAATAGTTCTCGCCCCAGGAGAGACGTCATCAAAGCGGTCTGGTGGTCTAGATCTCCCCCGCACCGTGACCATTTCGTCTTCAATGTCGGCCCCTGGACCTATCCAGATATTTCGGAACGGACCTGGCCTTGACGGCGAGGACTCCCCAATAATCGAGACCGTCAAGATCCGCCTCCTCCTCCTCCTCCTCCTCGTCCCTCCTCCTCCTCCTCCTTCTCCTGCGCCTCTTCTTCCTCCTCCTCCTCCTCGTCCTCCTCCTCGTCCTCCCTCCTCCTCCTCCTCCTCCTCCTCCTCCTCCTCCTCCTCCTCCTCCTCCTCCTCCTCCCTCCTCTCCTCCTCCTCCTCCTCCTCCTCCTCCTCCTCCTCCTCCTCCTCCTACCTCCTCCCTCCCTCCTCCTCCCTCCTCCTCCTCCTCCTCCCTCCTCCTCCCCCTCCCTCCTCCCTCCTCCCTCTCCTCCCTCTCCTCTCCTCCTCTCCTTCTCCTACTCCTTGCCCTCCTCCTCCTCTCCTCCTCCTCCTCCTCCTCCTCCTCCTCCTGGCCCTCCTCCTCCACCTCCTTTCCCTCCTCCGCCTCCTCCTCCTCCTCCTCCTCCTCCTCCTCCTCCTCCTCCTCCTCCTCCTCCCCCTCTTCTCCTCCCTCCTCCCTCCTCCCTCCTCCTCCCTCCTCCCCCTCCTCCTCCTCCTCCTCCTTCTCCTACTCCTTGCCCTCCTCCTCCTCCTCCTCCTCCTCGCCCTCCTCCTCCTCCCAAACTCGTCCTCCTCGTCCCCTCGTCCTCCTCCTCCTCCTCTTCCGCCTCCTCCTCCTCCTCCTCCTCCTCCTCCTCCTCCCCTCCCCCTCCCCCTCCCTCCCTCCCTCCCTCCCTCCCTCCCTCCCTCCCTCCCTCCCTCCTGTCTCTCTCCTCCCTCCGCCGTTTCGTTTCCCTCGTTCCGTTTGCGTTCTGAAAGGAGCACGCCCCCGCGCACACCCACGCGCGCAAGCCGCACCAGGGTGGCAGCGGCGCGCGCGCGCACCAGAGGCTCCAGGCCACTGCCCATGCTGCCACTGCACCGCTGCCCGCAGCACCCCGCCCTCCTTCATCCCCCCTCCTTCCGCTCGCCCGCAGCCCGGCGCCGTGCCTGCTCCGGCAATATGTTGGACAGGTCCGTCTCGCTGCTGCCGGAGGAGCCGCCGCTGACGTCGCGGCTGCCATTTTGTCGCGTCGCGGGACACGGCCGAGCGTCGAGGATCGCATCGCGACTCGCTCCGGCGGGGCCAATGGAGCCCAAGGGCACCCGGCTTCTGGCTATTCTCCCCCCTCCTCCTCCCCATCCACCTCCATCCTCCTAGGCATGCTCCTCCTCCGCATCCTTCTTTCGGTTCATCGCTCTCTCCTCCTCCTCCTCCTCCTCCTCCTCCTCCTCCTCCTCCTCCTCCTCCTCCCTCTCCTCCTCCTCCTCCTCCTCGTCCTCCTCCTCCGCCTCCTCGTCCTCGTCCTCCAATACCTCTCCCAGATACAAGTACGCAACTCATCCTCATCGCACCGCCAAGCGTGTGGACAGAGCGGGTCAGGCGCATCGTCTGAGACTTCCTGAGCACCTGTGGCTCTGAAGCCTGAATGTAGCACTCGCCCTTGCGCCAGGCCCACTCGTCTTACCAATCTCCGGCAGCGACACGGATAGAGGGCGGCACTCTCCAGAAATGAGGCTCTCGCAAAAATGTACAGGCGAACCTAGGACAGAATAACATCCTTCAAACACATGCGTCAAAAACATGAAACCCTCCGCCATCCATAACACACAGATCATCCGAGGGTACCCTCCCCAGGATGCACAAAAGCAGCCGACAAAAACGAAAAACTTTAGGGTACCTTTCCCGAACAGACTCCGATCTCTTGTACCTCGGCCCGACTGTATCAAAGGTGCCCCCTTTTCAAAGCGGGGCTCTCGCCTGACTGACAGGCCCATGGGGCGCGCGCCTTTGAAGGGGGGTGCTCCCATGAGAAGGAAACACGTGCAGGGATCTACGGAGAGGGAGGAGACTTGAGATGGCACGGTGCATTGCAGCATCGCCGTTGCAGCAAAGGCTTGCTCTGGTCCCTCCCCTCCTCCCTCCCGGCTCATCCCAGCCTTCCTGATACTCCTAGAATTTCTCCCCCCTCCCTCTCCCCCCTATCCCCCCTCGCTCTTCCTTTTCAGCAGCCTCTCTTCGACCCACCACACAGGTAGGGCGGCCTGGGCGTTCCGCCTAAAGACCTCCTCGCCACTAGTGATCCTGAGGCTTGACCACTCGAAGGATTACGCGAACGACGAGCGAATCGCTCCACAGAGTGTGGCCCTCGCCTTCGCGCTGCGCACAGACGCCTGAAAGTATTCGAGTGCTTACGCGGCATGGATCGCGGGTCGTCTTCAACATGCTCCTCTCGCCTTGGCAACGCGCAAAATCGGGCCATCGGTGATCATCTTAGCGTCTTAGCGCCGCGCCAATTCGTCTTGAACGGTTGCAGCAGTTGCCCGGATGGGGGGCGACTCTTTTTCAAAATGGTTTTCGCTTGGCGTTTCCCCCCGGCTTGAGTGACCAGACGTTTTGCATGTTCGTAGGGCATTCCTTTAACGAGGAGGGGATCTCGCTGTTAATCTCCTTGAACTGTGCAATAAGGAGCTTCCCGGTACTGAGAAGTGCTGCTTGCAGGTAGTGGTGAAGGGAGGACCCCGGACAAAAGGGCGTATTACAGCATCGTTTTCTTCTTCCTCCTCCTCCTCCTCCTCCTCCTCCTCCTCCTCCTCCTCCTCCTCCCCCGCCTCCCCCTTGACCCCCCTGGTTCCTTTTCCTCGACGCAGCCCAAGGCGACCACGTTCAATCCAGATCACCTATGCCTGTGGCCTGCAGCGGGTGGCGCCTCCCGCCGCTTCCGCCACCGCTGCGCGAGTTCGAGCCGCGCTCGGCCTGGCCGCCGACGTGGCAGCGCGGGACGGAGGCCGAGAAGACGGCTCGGTCGGCGCTGCCTGTTGGAGCCTGTGCACGGGCGCAGCTCCGCCAGCCTCGAGGAGACGGCCAGTCTGCTATGGTACGGTCCTCGCGCCAGCCCCTCCAACACCCTGCCACCCCAAGATCTGAAGGCAGGACGACCTGGGCATGACGCGGAATGAGCAGGAACGGTGCCAGGGCCACTGGCGCCGCATATAGCACAAGCCACGCATGAGACTCCAGTCTCGGCGAGGCGAAATGGATGCACGGCGTGGGGCTGCCCACCGCCGAGCAGGACACGTGCGTGCCCCATGTCCGCCGCCAGCGCACAGCGAGGAGTGGCGGGCGGCGGAGGGGGCAGAACATCAAGCCGCGGAGCGCGAGGCCTCGCTCGCCGCTTGCTTGGAAGGACATGGAAGACAGTGGTGGTGACCATTGCTGGGCCGACCCGACCAAGCCAGATAGCGCACTCACAGAGTACGCTCTCCATATTATCTCGAGCTTGCGACGCAGCTCGGGGTCCAGGCTAGCGCACCCTGAAGCCTCTTTCGCAAAACCGTCGGCCAGGTCGTTGCCAGCGCGGTGAAATGGGTCGACCTGTCCTGCTTGCACGGCGGCGTGCGCGGCGTGTCCTCGGACTTTAACGACGACGACGGAGTCAGCCCCCCCCCGGCCAGCAATTTTCTGCTACACCACGCGCCAAGCTTCGGCCCAGGCAGCCGTGCTGGAGCAGCACTGGCGAGGACCGCGCTCGATGCCATCCACAACGAAAGCGAAGCCGCCGTTAAAACATGTGTCGGGCAGAAACGCAAAACCTGCGGCAGTGCCCTGAGCCCTCGCAGGTCGATATCGGCGACGAGGTAGTCTAGGGAACCCGCATAGACCGCCTCCGCTCGATGTGCGTCGGCCGACACATGCACCCACGACCCGCCCAGCCCTCGCTGAGCCGATGGTATGTGCTCGTCACGCTGGCTGCCGTCTAACAGGACGTGGCCTTGCAGATCGCTGGTCTCGCCAAGGACCCAGCAGCCAGGAGGCCGAGGAACAACAGGGAGAGGCGCAAGCGGCGCAAGCAACCTCTCAAAAAGCAGGAGGGGGAGGGAGGGTCTTCCGTCCTCCTGGTGAGCCTGGGCGCAAGCTCGGCCGAGCGAATTGGTGAACGGTGGCAGCCCGTGCTCGCACAACTCATCGCGATGCTCGCAACCGGTGTGACGATGGAGGAGAGTGCCATGATCTTCCAAGCATACCTGATACTGCCACTGCTGCGAGAGACCGCAGTCGAACTGTCGCTGCTGTGGCCAGTGGCCACCGCGCGTTACACAACGAATGCGCGGTGCGCCTTGCGCCGAGGCGCGCATGCTTCCAGTGGCCCTGCGCAGCGGCTGCAGCAAGATACCGCGGGCAAACTCGGGGCACTCCAAATCGTCTGCTGCCCGCTGATACAGCCAGAGGCCCACCGCCGATCCAGCGCCAGCCCCGCCGGCCGAGGAGAGAGGTCAAGGAGAGAGAAAGATCCAATCTTGGGGTGCGACCATTGGAGCCCATCCATGTGAATTCCCAGTCTCATGGCTGTGGCTACGCACGCACTGAAGGATCCCTTGATATGCTGCCAGGGAGACGAGTGCTGCTGGAGGCGCTGCCAGGCGTCACGGATCCCTCCACAGAGAACCGAATGCGGCAGCAGGCTGCTTCAAGCTGCGGATGCGAGCGCGAGCAGAAGCCCTTCGCACAGCGTGTACGCAGGGTCGACGCGGCTGACACCCGAGAGAAGCAGCATGAGCGCGATGCACCGCCCATCGACGCAGGCGAACTCGACTTGGGCTTGCTGTGGCCTCGCAACTCTAAGCTCGGTGGCGCTGGTGCCAAGCACCTGATGACCGTAAGTGGCTGCAGACTGGATGGCGGCTTGGACCATGTGGCGCAGCTGCAGCTTCTCAAGCTGGCGACCGCGGGCAGGAGCCAGGCGCTCTAGCCTGACGGGTCGCGCTCGGCGGCATCTCCTGCCCAGCCGGTTGCTCTTGGGGCCACGCCTCGTCGTCGACGGTGCGTCAAAAGGGCGCCTGGGCCCAAGGGCGCGGAAGAGGTCGAACACGTGGACGACGATGCATCGACGCTCCATGAGCGTCGATCCTCTGCCCCCTACGATAAGGCTGCAACTGACGTGCCCTTCTCTGTTGGCTCCTCATCACGTTGTGCTGGCGCGGGCCTGGAAGAAGGCGCGCGCGTCCATGACGCTAACGCCGAAGACATCGCAGGGGCGGAGACGCAGCCCCCCCCCAAAAAAACCTCCGAAGAAGCCTCCTACGGGCAATGCTGGCAAGGATGGTGGGCATGACGACGGCGGCCCTGTCATTCCTCCTGTTGTTGCCCAGGTGCCCCGAGTGCCCCCCTCG